GCTCTTCTCTCAGGCTTCCTGGCTTTTAATTCCCTTTCTCCTGCTCTTCCCACTAGCTACTTTGGGTGTCACTGAGTTGTCTCTCCTCACCTATAACCCTGGGGCTGACTGCTCTTCTGTCCGGGTTCCTGGCTTTTATGCCCTATCTCCTGCTCTTCCGGCCTGCTACTCTGGGTGGGCCCGAGTTTCCTCTCCCCACCTAATTCCTTTGGCTGATTGCTCTTCTCTCTGGCTTCCTGGCTTTTTATTCCCTTTCTCCTGCTCTTCCCGCTTGCTACTTCGGGCGTCCCTGAGTTGTCTCTCCTCACCTGTAACCCTGGGGCTGACATTTATTTATTACTAAGTATTTATTACTATTTATTATGTTGAGGAATTCCCTTCTATTCCTATTTTTCTGAGGTTTTTTTTTTTTTTTTTAAATCAGGAATTGGTGTTGGATTTTATGAAATGCTTTTTCTGCATTTGATATTATTATGAGGTTTTTTCCTTTTATTTATGTGATGGATTATGTTGATAGTTTTTCTAATGTTGAACCATCCTTGCATATGTGGAATGAAACCCACATGATCATCATGTATTATTTTTGATATGTTGTTGGAGTCTATTGGCTGGGATTTTGTTGAAGACTTTTGCATCTATATTCATGAGGGATATTGGTCTGTAATTTTCCTTTTTAGTGGTGTCTTTGCCTGGTTTTGGTATCAGGGTTGTGCTTGCTTTGTCAAATGCACATGGAAGTATTGCATCCTTTTCTATGTTCTGGAATAGTTTGCGTAGAATTGGTGTTAGTTTTTCTCTGAATGTTTGGTACAATTGTTCAGTGACATTTTCGGGGCCTGGATGTCCCACCCATCCCCTGGTAGTTTTTTTTTTTTAAATGATCTGTTCAATTTCTTTTGTTATGGGTTTGTTCAAATTTTCTACCTCAGTCTGTGTTAGTTTAGGTAACTAGTGTGTTTTTAGAAATCTGTACGTTTCTTCAAAGTTTTCAAATTTGTTGGGGTTCAATTATTCATAATATCCTGATACTGTCCTATTTAGGTTGGTTCTGTTGCGATGTCGCCCATTTAGTTTCTTATTTGCATGTATCCTTCTTTTCCTTTGTTAGTTTTGCCAGTGGTCTGTAGATTTTACTAATCTTTTAAAGGAACCAACTTCTAGTCTTGTTCATTCTTTCTATGGTTATTTCTGCTTGAATCTTTTTTTTTTTTTTTTTCTGTTGTTGACTGTAGCCTTTTTTTGTTACTTTTAAATTTTTTATAATTGTTGGAAATGTTGGGTTAAGGTGTTGATTTTGGCTTTTCTTTTTTGATGTGTGTATATATTACTATAAATTGTCCTCCGATCACTGCTTTTGCTATGTTCCAAAGATTTGGAAGGTCCTCAATGAGATGGATTGACACAGTTGCTGCAATGATGGGCTCAGATATAGCAAAGATTGTTAAGACTGGCACATCATCATCCCAGAAGTCCAATTTTTCTTTTGTTTATGCTGAGATATAATCCATACTGAGGGTTGTAGTTTTAGGTCTTTATTAGTAAGTGCTTCAAGTCTTCACGTTCAACAGCAAGATTGTGTCATCTGCATATGGAAGGTTGTTAATCAGTCTTCTTCAATCCTATGTCAGGTTCTTCTTCATATAGTCCAGCTTCTTGGATTATCTGCTCAGCATACACTTTGAATAAGTATGGTGAAAGGACATAACCCTGACACACACCTTTCCTGATTTTAAACCATACTGTATACTCTTGTTTTGTTCAAACAACTGCCTCTTGGTCTACATATAGGTTCCTTATGAGCACAATTAAGTGTTCTGAAATTCTCATTCTTCACAGTGTTATCCACATAGTTGAGTATCTTTCCATAGTCAATAAAACTCAGGTAAACATCTTAGTGATACTCTTTGCTTTCAGCCAAGATCCTTCTGACATCAGGAACGATATTCCTTTGTTTCACCTCAGTATTGCTCCTTTTCAGATTTTGTATTATTTTCCATATGCTTTTTTTTTTTTTTAAATGTAATATGTTCTTCACCTCAAGTTCAGAATTAGAATATGATAACAAGGATCTAGATAAACTGCTCCTAATATACCATCATTTTTAATGATAATTTTTTCCTTGACATTAAAGTTTTTGATTTCCACATTTATTAAGGGTTCTTAATTGTTCACTTAAAATCTTACTTTAACTTTCATTAAAGGTTTTAAGGTTTCTAAAGTTAATTTGATATAAACTCATTTTTCATTAGAAAACAAATTTCATATTATTCTTAGCTAATACATTGCATTATTAGTTGCTGATGTTTGGTAATACTTTGTGAGATATCAAATTAAAGCAGATAAGGAAAAATTTCTATTTCTTGAATTTAAATATCACAGTTAAAAATGTGAATAATATACATTTAACATGTTTACACTCACTTGACAAATTTCTATTCATATGAAATTCTGTTCAGAACTTGATACGGTTTAACCAGCTCTTCCAAATTTCTGACTACAATTGTTCTCAATTGCCGAGTGTTTCTCACGTTTGGTAGGCACAGCTCCTGTAACTGTGAGAGCATCAAGTACAGGAAATAGCAAACTCTGACTGGCCTGTGAATCATCTTGAGTAACAAGCAGTCATCACTGGTTGTGAAATGTAGTTCACCAAGCACTGAACTGTGCTCTTATCAGCTATATGTCAGAGCGGCATTTGGCATATGTGGGTGCCAAATGCAAATCAAATGCAAATGGTCCAATGGTCTTGCTAACAACTTAAAAATTATTATGAAAATATAGAAAAACTATAGAAAAGTAAACCAAAACCAAACCAAACACACTGCTGTTGAGTCAGACCTGACTCATAGTGACCCCTCCTTGGGTTTCAGAGGCGGTATCACTATGGAAGTAGATTGCCCAACCTTCCTTCTGAGGAGTGGCTGGTGGGTTTGAACTGCCAGATTTCTGGTTAGCAGTCAAATGCCTGAGGCAGTACGCCACCAGATCTGGAAAAAATATTTTCAGTTTCTGTTCTGGTTCAGAAAAACATTTAAAAAAATTTTTGTCTTTTGGTTTCACTCTGGTGAAAATATCAGTTTTTTTTCCAGTTTCAGTTCCATTCTGGTTCAAAGCTTTGAATCTGAGGACTTGCCTGAGATGCAGGATGAAAGAACAATAAAACCAAAGGATGTAAAGCATTTTCAAGAGAATTAACTGAATTAATGGATAGTAGACTCTGAGGTAGTTGTAGAAAGATGTGGGGTAAAAAGGGAGAGGTTAACAAGTTGAAAGTACTGATGAGGTAGCTTAGTTTCAAGGGAAATATTTCAAAAAGCTAGCAAGCCACTGAGACTATGGTCCCTAGCTGCCCTTCAGGTCTGGAAATGAACCCATGTCTGTGGCTTCCAGCTAAACACAAAAGACAGGCATAGGAGTTGAACATTTACCTGAGGTAGATACACTTCTTGGAGAGAACAATCATGGGAGAGAGAAGGGCTCTTTATGCACAGGGAGACAGCTCAGGGGGCAGGGGTGCATGGAGGAATGGATACAGGGAAGAAGTGACTGTCAGGAGGAAGTGGGAGGGGAGCTGTTGCATTGTGGTGAATTGTGGTCAATGTCATGAGACAAAGTGTATGTGAACTGCTATCTGGATTGGAGGGTGTTGCAGATTTACTATGGCCACAAATTATTTGACATTGTTCCTACTGAGAGCTGAAGATCTGTGTCTCCTCTGAGCTCTGTGTCTGTCTGAATGGTAGAATATATTGGAAGTGGCTCTGAGCCAGTTTCTGGGTCCAGGCCTTAGGAAACTAGGAGTTGCTTCCTGCCCCTTGGAATACTTGCTCCTAGAATCTAGTCATCATGCTGTGAAGAAGCACATGGAAAGGCACTGAGAGAAAGCCATCTTGGAAGTGGATCCTCTAGGCCCAGATAAGCCACTCCAAAAGATACTACATGGAGTAGTTCTCGGTTAGTCAGTCATGCAGCAATAGATATATAAATGTGCCTTACATTAAAAGAAGGTGTAACATTTGAATTACTTGTATTTATCCTGTTGAGTGGTTGTTGTTATTCTCAATAAAGTCTGAAGTCTTGGAAATGAAGGAATCCAAAGTGACTCTATGGCTGCTGTTCCTTGTTATTAGATTCAAGCAGTCAGAGTTGACATTCAATTGGGAGAGACCATCATGATGTAAATCAATAAATACTTATAACTTAAGATATACACATCAGGGTGAAATTATTAGTCCCTGAAATTGTCTACATAGCACAATTTTTATAGAAGACAGTTTGATAGGAGCCATATCTGTCATGAATCCTAGCCAGGTTCATTATTTAATTCTTAAATCTACTTCCCTACGTGGAATTAATAGTCCTGAGTTTTAATATGACTACATCTTTTAGACACTAGTTATTTTTCATTTGTTTCTGGTCTAACCAGGATTTTGGGATTGATGAGCCTGACTTCATATGCTACTCCCTAATTTCTGGAGGCTAAGGACAGGAAGTCTCTATATTCTGTTTCATTTTCTAGTTGTCAAAGACTGCCTCATATATTAATGTGAAATGTTAGCTATTCATTAGGATACAAGTATAGAACTCCAGGTTGACTTGAAATCAGACTATTAAAAAAAAAAGACCAAATGGAGATAGGTTGTGTTCATATAATCAAATAAGAATTTCAAATACTGTAAATATTTAATTTACATGGAGCTTAACTTGGAAAACACATGTTCTTCAATCCACTTATTAAAAACCCTATTACATTAGAAGATGCATATGAGTTATTGAGAATGGAAGGCAAAGAGATTCCATACAAAAAGTTGAAAGGTAGCCTAGGGATCTATCTTGGGCTTCATTAAAAAAAAGTTCAGTTTAATATCTGAATTACTTAAGAAGTAGAGTGGGATTACACAGAAAAAGATGGCAACCAGAAAGATATTTCATTAGCCAGAGTTTGAATAACCTCTATTCTAAAATTGCTTCTTTGTCAGCTAAAATCATTTGCTAGGTCATTATTTTGGTTTCATTTTTCTTTTAGCATCTTTATGTTTCTTCCGACAGTCCTAGAAAAAAATACAAAAGCCTTTGTTAAGAAGTTGTTTCCAGGTATTGAGTAATTATAAAGTAAAATGTTTTCCAGTCTCAGGGTTGTGGAACCTCAAGGCAGTCCACCCATTTTGTGAGCACTCACTTAAAATGAACAGGGAATACTTAAACTTTTGGCTTTAAACAATACAGTGGGAAATTCAATTCAGTCCTAAACAACAACAAAATAACTCTCATGTTTTCATGTTATTCAGTAAGCCTGGATGGAACTATGTGACCAGTTCATCTGGCCAGTCTTCAGTTCCCTCATTTTTATGATACATGGGTTGAATTAAATATCTTCAAGTTATCTTTTAGCTCTATAATTCTGAGACTTTAAATTGTTTTAAACTCAGTTGTTATCCTTTAAGTTTCAAATCTCATTACAATCACTCTGGGAAATATTAAAACAAAGAAATGCTAAGGATATACCATTTATTTTAGGAGACAGTCACTGTAGAGATAGAGTTACTCACCTTACGCAGGTTATTTGTTTGGGCCTCCCAATAATTCCTGCTCATATTACTTTCTGCTTCTCTCCAGAATAACTTAGAACCTACTAATGGGAAAATGAAAAGGATAAGCCTGCAACTTAATACCAAAACAGACAATATTCTAGTGCTGGCAACATCAAGGTTGCCAATGTGACTTCTAAATAAGGCCATTTAAAAAAAAAAAAATTGTGGTGAAACAATACAATTCAATAATTTCTACATGTATAACAAAGTGACACCAATTACATTCTTCAAATTCTGCTATCCTTTTCCAAATTATCCCACTATTAACAAACATTCAAAGCATCCTAAGCAAAAATTCCTCCTGTCCCTCTTCCTGCCACTCCTACTAACCACTAATTATTTTTGGTTTCTGTATTTTTTCTTAATTCATATAAGTGAGATCATATATTATTTACTCTTTTGTGATTGACTTATTTCACTCAAAATGTTTTCTAGGTTCATCCATATTGTGGCATGCATCAGTACTTCCTTTCTTTTTATGCCTGAATAATATTCTACTGTATGTATATAACACATTGTGTTTATCCATTCATCTGTTTGTTGATAGACATTTTGGTTGTTTCCACCTTTTTGAAATTGTGAATACTGCTGTAAGAACTCTAGTGTATATATGTCTGTTTGCATTGCTTTCAAGTCTTTTGGGTATACAACCTTGAACAACGTGGCATGTAGGGGTGCCAGCTTCCCGTGTAGTTGAAAATCTGCATATAACTTTTTATTTTTTAAAATTTTTATTGTGATTTGGGTGAAAGTTTACAGAGCAAATTCATTTTCCATACAGCAGCTCACACACTTTGTCTCATGACATTGACTGCAACTGCCCACAGTGCAACAGCTTCCCTCCAACTTCCTCCCCATAGTTACATTTTTCCTGGGATTTTTCCCTCCCATGCACTCCTGCCCTCCAAGCTGTCCCCCTGTGTATACACAGTCCTCCTCTTCTCCCATGACTGATCTCTCCAAGGAGTATATGTACTTAATATAAATGTTCACTTCATATGCCTGTCTTTTATTTGGCTGGAAACCACAAGAGTGTGTTCAATTCCAGACTTGAAGGGCAGAGAGGGACCATAGTCTCAGGGGTTTTACCAGGCTCTCTACAGACCAACAAACCTGGTCCCCCATTTTTTTTTTTTAAATGATTTTGAGTTTTGTTCTACATTGTTCTCCGTTTCTATCCAGGATCTCCTACAGAGATCCCCCTCCGAGTGGTTGAGAGTGTAGTCAGGCATCATCTAGTTCTTCTGGTCTCATAGTCGTATAGGATGAGGCTTGCACCCACCAGCCACTCCTTGGAAGGAAGGTTGGGCAATTGTCACTTCCGTAGTGATACTGCCTTGGCAACCCAAGGAGGGGTTGCTATGAGTTGGGGCCAACTCAATGGCACATAATAACAACAACAACAACAACAACAACAACAACAACAACCAGTCACTTGGACTAATTGTTTCCATGCATCTTTGGTTTTCTTCTTCTTTGCTCTGGATGAGGAGAAACCCATTGTTGCATCTAGATGGCCGCTTGCAAGGTTTTCAGATCCTAGTTGCTACTTGCCAAAGTAAGATATGGAACAATGTTTGTGCGTAGTATGTTATGCCAATTGAGCTTGATGTCTTCTGTGACCATGGTCCCGAGCCCACAGGTCCAACTACTAGCTTCCTCTGCGTAGCTGGCTGTGGCCAAGAAGTGACTACAACCTTGTCCCTTGTCAGCTGTACTATATACCTGGGAATTCTTACAGAACATACCAATACACTTATAGAAACATTGCCAACTGTATACATGGTCATGGGCATACTTCCCCTTGCATAGACGTATCTAATAGTTCAGCCTGTCTATCCATCTATCCACCCATAGATTAATGTTTGCCTTCACTGACAATGCAGTATTATATGTGCAAAAGGGTTCATCTTTGTTGTCCATACCTCCTATGCACCTCTCTCTGTCTTCCCTTTTCTTCAATGCCACTGTGTTGATCATTCATATTTGGTACATTGCCCTTCTCTTTACCCAAATCAATACTTGTCTCCACCTATCTAGCAGTGTTCCCTCCCCTCCCCTCCTGGTAACCAACCAAGAAAATTTCCTTCCATATATAAACCTTTCCTTGACTTTTTACAATAACGGTCCTTCTGTGATTGACTTATTTCACTCAGCATAATGTCCTCTGAGTTCATCTACGCTATACAGTGTCTTGCAGGAAAACGTGCATATAATTTTTGACTCCCCCAAAACTTAACTCCTAACAGCCTACAGTTGATTGGAAGCCTTACTGATAACATAAACAGTCAATATACACTGTTCTTGCATTACAGTTATTAGATTTTCACACAAAGATACTCACACATATATACAACAGATACATTTATTAACTGTACAGCATGATGAATATATACTACTTCTTAAGTGGATGTGGATCATCATAAAGGTCTTCATCCTTGTCTTTATGTTGAGTAGGCTTAGAAGGAAGCATAGGGGTCAGGACTGGCAGAGGCAGAAGAGGTATAAGGGGAGGCAGGAGAGGCAAGCATACTTGATATAACTTTACAGAAATATATCATAACTTTGTTCTTTTTTGCATTTTCATTTCTCTAAAAATGTTTCTATACTGTACCAATCCTTTTTCATGTTTCAGTACCTGTATCATAGAAGGGTCTGTCATAAAAATAGTCAAAAACAGTCTTGAATAATCAGAACCCTTTTGCCAGACTGTCTAATGTCAGTGCCCCCCCCGCCCCCGGCACTGCTGCTTCTACATTTTCTTCCTCATCACCTGGCACTGGTTTGGCGGTGCTCATCTCCATCAAGTTTTCTTCTTTTAATTCCTCTGATATTGTCTATTAGCTTTTGAATTTCTCCAAGATCCATATCTTGAAAAAAATCTGCATATAAAAGGACTTGCACTGTTCAAACCTGTGCTGTTCAAGAGTCAACTCTATACCAAAGAGTGGAATTGCAGGGTCATATGTTAATTCTATGCTCAACTGTTAGAGTCATTTGCAAACTTTTCCACCAGTGGATGCAACATTTTACATTCCCAGCAGCAATCGATGAAGGTTTTTGTTTTTCTACAACCTTGGCAACACCTAATGTTTCCCTTTTTTTTTTTTTTGATCACTGAATGGGGGTAAGCCGGTATCTCATTGTAGTTCTGATTGACATCTACCTAAAGGCTAATGAAGGAGCTCTAGTGGCACAGAAATGAACACATCTGGCTACTAATCAAAAGGTTGGTGGTTTGAACCCTCCAGCCTCTCTGTGGGAGAAAGATGAGGCAGTCAGTTTCCATAAAGATTTACAGCCTTGGAAATCCCATGGGGCAGTTCTACTCTGTACTATGAGGTTGCCGTAAGTTGGAATTGACTCAATCGTAGTAGGTTTCACCTGGTAATGTATAATGACTTTGAGTACTTTTTCATGTGCTTGTTGGCCATTTTAATATCCTCTTTGGTGAACTTAAGGTGCTCTGGTGGCACAGTCTAAAGCATTTGACTGCTAACTAGAGGTTGGTGGTTCAAACCTACCAGCCACTCCACAGAAGGAAGACTGGGCAATCTACTTCCATAAAGATTTATTGCCTTAGAAAACCAAAGGGGTCGCTATGAGTCAGAATCTACTCACTGGCAATTAATTTGGTTTTGGTTTGGTTAGTGAACTTTCCAAGTCTTTTGTCCAATTTTTGATTGGGCTGTTTGTCTCTTTGTTGTTAATTTGCAGAAGTATTTTATATATTTTGGATGTTAGACCTTTATTAGATATGTGGGTTTCCAACGTTTTCTCTGAATCTACAGGCTGCTTTTTTGCTTTTTTGATAAAGTCCTTTGATGCAAAAGAAGTATTTAATTTTTGTAAGGTCTTACTTACATTTTTGTCTTCAGCTGCTTGTGCTTTTGTTGTCATATCTGATAGATCATTACTTAAAAAGTAGGTCCTATAGTTGTACCTCTGTATATTCTTCTAAGAATTTTATGGTTTTAGTTTTTATATTTTGGTTTTTGTGTATGGTATAAGGGTTGGGTTAAGGCCACTGTTTCCATTTGCTATGAATTAAAAAAAAAGATTTTTAATGCTTTTGGAAGTGTAGTATTCCTAAGATTATACTGTTTACATACAGTTTACTATTATGCAACTGTTTATTTCTGTTTGTGCTAGGCTTTAAGATATGAGGAGTTCATCAGCAGTGTTGGGGCTTTCACATGGACATTTAGGGTAGTAAAAACTTAAAGAAGTTTTGTATGTCTAGTACTTAAGCAAGTCTCAAGAACAAAACAATATTCTGTAGATGATAATGAATGAGCAATTAAGTTGGTGAGTGGTGAGCTCTCCAACCCTTGAGAGCTTCACAAGTAAACAATCATCAGTCTGATGAAGGTAGCTTAACCCAGGGCTTTGAACTGGTTTGAACCCCTGTTGATAATGTACATTTCTACCCCAGATATTCTGAACCAGAATCTACTTTTTAATAAGATCCCCAAGTGGTTTTTATGTATTCTCAAATGGTTCTTATGTATAGGGATCTGGTTAAAATGTAGATTCTGATTCAGTATATCTGGGGTGGAAAGGCAAATTCCCAGCAGGAGGTTAAACTAGAATGAACTGGTTGGAAGCCCTGGCTTAACTACTTGACATTGAAAAAGTATTCTTCAGGATTGGCACTTTATGAAAGTGTCTGTATTTGGATGCATGTTATTTTATCAGTGTGAGCAGTGGAAAGATCTATTGGAATCCAGACTTTCTAGAGCCACTAAGGCTGGATAAACACAAAACCATTACCCTGACATAATCTTTGAACTATAAAACAAAAATAACCTTCTGAAGTCTTATTTAAAAAGAACACTAGTTCAGCTTAATTTGCAAAGGTCATGCACTTTGAGCACTGTGCTCTTTTAAAGGACTATCTATACAAGTTCAAACGAAAAACAGCAACTTGGAAGAGTAGATAGAAAGCTTAGGGGCCAGTGAGTTAATGAGGGAAGAACAATATGGAAAAGGAGGGTGAACATGGTTGCATAACTTGAAGAGTATAACCAATGTCACTGAATTGTACATGTAGAAATTATTGACTGGTGTTATGTTTTGTTGTATACATTTTCAGCAACAACAAAAAATAAAAAATGAATTATGAAGACAGTATTTAATGGAAAAATGGTACTTACCATGAAGTCTCTCATCATTCTTAGAGAAAAAGAACCATCTATTGATTACTTTCTCAGGAATTGATACTTCTCTGAGGTAGGAAAGAGAAAGAGATAGACAAATATTAGTTGTTTTAATTTCAGTCTTTAAGAAGAAGAAATGTTTACAAATGTTTACAATGAAATGACTATTCCTCAAATATATCTGCTTTGTGTTTTTGCTTATTATTTCCCTGAGTGAAAATGACCACACACTCCCTCCCTCTCCATTCAACATTCTCTTTCTATCTGAAGTTTTGATAATCCATTTAAGTATGAACTTTACCCTCCTCTTACTGGTTTCTGATACCACATGCTCACCCTCTAGCTGCCATCACCTCTGGTTGCCAGGAGTTCAAAAGAAGAGAGAGACAGACCACTGGCAACCTGTTTCCAATTAGAAACATCACTGTCAGTTTCCTGTTCCTGAGCTCATCATATGCCTGGCTTCTACTAGAGCTGTCTAAATCTCAAGGAAAAAGAAACAAGCTCTCTAGTACCCAAAGGTCAAGAACTCCACAGTGGAGAGAAGATAAAGTTGTGTTGTGAAGATAAGCTTAGGTATTTCTATACTATCTCTAAAATGGGAACTCTGGTGGCGTAGTGCCTAAGGCATGTGACTGCTAACCATAAGCCTGGTGGTTCAAACCCACCAGTCACTCCTCGGAAGGAAGACTGTAGTGATACCACCTCGGAAACCCAAGGAAGGGTTGCTATGAGTCAGATCTGACTCAATGGCAGTGAGTTCCATTTTTGTTTTTTTTGTTATCCCTAAAGTAAGTCTGAGATTTTACAAAACATGAAATACACTTGCACAGAAACAACTTACCCAGGGTTGGGCTTTCTGGGATCTATTTCTATAGTAGTATCTTCCTCTTCTGAGCTGCTGTCTTGGAAACAAGGGTTTCCATGCCATGCAATCTTTCCAGGCTTCACTGTTTCAGCTCTATAGGTCTCTATATTGCCATAACAATAAATGATGAGGGGATTATAACTCAACAACCCAGCACTTCTGAACAAACATGTTTGATTACCATATTATTATGCAAATAATGAGCATGTTGTTATGTTTTTGCCAACGGCACCCCACCCCTTCCCCACCTTGTATTTTCCTAAGTGCACTATGCTAATTTTTTTTACATGTAGCATAGTGTGTTTACAAAAATGGATGCTACTTTAACTGATGATTTCTAAAGTAGATCTATTGTAGTTAGGTTTGCATATAAGCTTCTGTAAAGATATATAATGCTTTTTATAAACATTCAGAAAAGCTGCATGTATGTCTGAATACTAAGTGAAGAGTAACCTAGTAAGAAAGGTGTTTTTAACCTGTGGTCTATTTTAAGCTTCAGCGGTGAACTGACTGAAATGGAATGCAAAATCCAAGGATAAACTTTTGAAACAAATAGTATGTTAATCACATGGCATATATGCTTAAAGCTGTTTACCTATTTTTTTTCCCCAACCATATTAGGCACTGGCTGTCCATAAGTCATGGCTTTTTCAACTGCATTTATGATTGAAAAACCCAAAACCTCTTGCTGTTGATTATGATTCATGGTGACACTATAAGTTACACAGCAGTAGTGCTCCATATGGTTTTCACGGCTGTAACCTTTACTAAAGTAGATCATCGGGGCTTTTATCCACGGTGCTGCTGGGCTAAATTAGCAGTCCAGCACAATCTGTTTGTGCCACCAAGGGACCCTGCACATACCATATGAAACTAAATATATGGCTCATTACACTTTTTCATGGATACTTCTACTCAATAAAAGAAGATGTTGCACACTATTCTCTGATCTCCTTTCATATGGCAGCTTACTAGAAGTTTACAAAAATGATTTCTTCTTGTACTAAAAATAGCTTTGGGCACTGTTAATTTCTGATTATAAATACTGAACCTCACATTTCTTATCTTGTGGAAGGAAGAAACCTTTACCCAGCTAATGTTAAATCATTACACTAAATGTAGACTCAATCTATTAATTTTAACCTGTCTGAAGTGAAAAAGCAAAAGAAAAAAATTACCTTCCTTTACATCTTTGGCATCTGAATCAAAAAAGGAAAACGTAAACCTAATTGGCTCCTCATCCCCATTCTTCAGAGATGCAGGATCATTAACTTCTGTTTTGTCTCCACCACAGTCCTCGTTCCATGGTACATTTTCTTTCTTTTCATTGATACCTTTTGTAGTTTGGAGTCTTTCTTTCAAATCTGTAGCAATGTTATAATACATTTCTTTGGATACCTCAGGTAGTTTCTCACTTTCTTCTCTTTTCTTCTTTCGTTTTGCTTTACTGCCATGACATATACAGATAAGTACATCACAAAGAAATAGTCACTTCTGGGAAAATTTCCAGACATCAGGAAAGGAAGACATTTTGAGTACCTTAATTCCATTCATTCAGCAACCAAAAAGAAAGCGAAAAAAACCTCCCTGCCACTGAGTTGATTCCAACTCATATGACCCCCACTAGGTTTCGAGGCACTCATCTTTACGGAAGTAGATTGCCCACTCTTCCATCTGCATAGTGGCTGGTGGGTTTGAACCATCAACCTTCTGGTTAACACTCAAATGCCTTAGGCACTATGCCACCAGAGCGACACAAAAACTCAAGTAATAAAACTATTTCAATAAACATCTCCAAATATTGAACATGAATCATACTCTTCTACCTCAATTTCTTACCTGTATTTCAGAAATGACACCTAAGATAATACTTGGAGTAAGAAAATTAACAATATCAAGAGCTTCAGTTTTCTCATCTGTCAATTGAAGACTCTAAACTAGGTAAACATGGTAAACCATTTCAAGTTTTATAATTCTATGCATTTTATGAACCTGAATTTGAAAAGGATTTGGTTTAACTTAGTTTTAGATATGAAGTATAAATGTACTAAGAGTACTCTAAGATGAAATATTTATTTTACCATAAAACTGTCATATATTTAAGTGGCTAAAGCACTTGACTGCTAACCAGAAGGCTGGAGGTTCAAACCTATCAGCCACTCCTCAGAAGGAAGGTTGGGCAATCCTACTTCCACAGTGATACTGCCTCGGAAACCCAAGGAGGGGTCGCTATGAGTCGCGGCCAACTCGATGGCACATAACAACAACAACAACAACATATTTAATATGCTATTTTTTCTTTGAGCTTAGACTAAATATTACATGGCCATTTTCAAAACTGAGTTTTTACCTAGCAAAATATTAAGATCCTTTTTCCTATGAGTCCATTCCATATGTTATATATAAGATCAGGCAAAAGGTCTTAAAATACTATGTAAAATAATAAGTGACCACGATGTTCTAAATAACAATTTTATCAGTGGAGACCAGGTCATAGAAAGAAACTTTTAATACTTCATTAAATAAATTAAAGCAGCTAGGATGTAAGACAGATTTGCCTCCTATCAAACTGAGTTCTATAGAAAATTATGTTATATACACAGTTCCAAGCAATTATCACAGAACCTGAAAGTGGTGGCTTTAAAACTGGTCTAAAATTTCTTTGATACTCTCTTTCTTTGCAGAGGTGGAGGTTAATTCCCCTCTATTCCTTGACTGTGGGTTAAACTTAGAAAAATCTTTTAAAAAACAGAATAGGGTAAATGTAATGTATATAACTTAGAAGACTAGTGTCACAGAATACCCTTTAGTTTTCTCCTTGCTCTTCCCTCAGTTTGGATCACTTGCCTTGAGTGATCTCAGCTACCTGCCATATCGTGAGGCCACTGAGGAACTAAAGATTTCCTCTAATAGCCATGAGTGAGCCACCTTGGAAGATCATCTTGGCCCAGACAAGAATTCAGAAGTAGTAGAAGTCCTAGGCAACATTTTGACTGCAACCTCACAAGAGACCTTAAGCCAGAATTACCTAATGAAGTCAAATTCTAGACCTGTACAGACTTTGAGATAAATATGCATTTGCGGTTTTAGGATGGAATGTTTTTAGGTAGTTTGTTACATAGCAATAAACAATACAACCTAGATATAAAAGCAAAACTAACAGCACAAAACAACCCTCACATACCTGTTATGTTCAATGTGCAATAACTGAAATAACATACAAAAATTCTACATTGCAAGGAATATTTGTAGTTTTTCTACTTTGGTTTGATAATATGATTCTTATTAAAAATAATTTCTGTTGTTGAGAATATACACAGTAAAACATACAGCAATTCAACAGTTTCTACATGTACAGTTCAGTGACACTGATTACATTCTGAGTTGTGCAATCCTTCCCTCATCCTCCTTTTCTGAGTTGTTCCTTTCCATTAACATAAACTCACTGTCCCGTAAGCTTCCTACCTATGCTTTTGAGTTGCTGCTGTCAAACTGAACCCATATAAATGATTCTTAGAAGAGCACAGTGCTCAAGGTAGACATTTTTTGAGTGAAGCTAAGTTATTGTGTAGTTTTAAGAAGACTTCAGGGAGTATTTTTGGTTTAAAGATTATCTCAGGGCAATCGTTTCGGGGGTTCATCCAGTCTCCATAGCTACAGAAAGTCTGGAGTCCATGACAATTTGAAATTCTGTTCTGCATTTTGCCCCTTTTGGTGCCTAGGTACGAATCAGTTCTTGTCTTATGACAAAGGACGCAGTTGTTGTTCATGGAAGCAATGAGTCACAAAGTCCACATTCTCCTTCTATTCATGACCCTCTTTTCCTCTGTTGTTTCAGAAGAAAACAACGGTTGTTCCTTAAATGGCCTCTTGTAAGATTTAATGAGCCCAGGTACAACACAATGATCCATGAAGTAGAGCAGAAGCACTAAGCACATGATGAGGTCTAATTAACTGGAATGTCCCATGAAACTATGACCTTAAATCTCCAAATCAAGGAACCAAATCCCATAAGGTGTTTGGTTATATATAAGCAGCCTTAGCAGTGAAACATTTTATTGGTCCTTGTACATATATCAATTACACAACTTTTGCCAATTCAATTATTTAAAAGTGTACAAGTTATTAATAGCAATTACATTAACTTGGTGTGGAACCCTACCTTAATCAATGCTATTTTTCCATCACTGTAAATCCAAATTCAGCACTCCATGCCTTGTTTTCCTTTCTAGTCATCACCCACCAATGCATGTGCCCATGCAGTCCTTGGCAAGCAGAGCTGATTCTTAGGTTGCTGCCCAGGTCAAGATGCAACTTATAAATATTCAAATTGGCTGTGCCATCAGGACAGCTGACAGTCTGCAGCTTTATTTGTTCCCTTATTCACTGTTTTCATTCAGGTTCTTCTCCTGATTGGTATTTAATCCACTTTTTTATCCTTCCATTCAAAGCTCAGGGTTCTAATATCATCTTCTATATCTGTTTCAATTGGTTTCTTGTTTCTTTGTCGCAGAGCCTATGTAGCTTGTCTGCCTATTCTGCCACCTTGCCAGAAATCCTCAAATTTGTTTTAAATCAGGAAGTTTGTAAAAGTTTGTTACATCAGTCACAGGAAACTAATACAAGTAGGAAGGACCATACTAGAGCTGGAGCACATGTTATTATTTATATATGGGATTCTTTTGTCAAAAGGTAAGACTTTCTCTACCATGTTAATAATTCCTAACTTTTCATCTGCTAGTCTTCAAACTAAATACAATCAGGACATACTGATAGGATATTGTGGTGTAGCCATAAATCTTTGTAAACTTCATGGTGGAATTTGCCATTTGCAACTGAGTAACCCTTGATTGTTAAAGTTATCCACCTGGGGTATTTTTGTTGAGAGTGGCAGGAATCAATCTTCTGGGAAGTTTTCTCTCTCTCAGGTGTATAGAATTCTGACACTGGGATTGGTTAGTTTGGCCACTCTCCTAGGCTCAAAAGGAGCCCTCCTAGAGGTAGAAGGGGGTCTGACTGCTGGCTGAGAAAGATATGCTGCTGAGAGAAACAGGCTCCTGAGAGAGAGAGAGACATGAAAGACATACACTGCTGAGAGAGCAATGTGCTACTGAGACTGCTGGCTGCTGAGTAAGATGGCTGTCTGCAAGAGACTGAGTGTATTTCTGAACTTTGATTGTAGTCTGGTGCTTCTCTAATAAACCCCATAATCTGTGAGTTCTGTGTGGCCACTGCAGCGAATTATCAAACCCAGCAGAGAGATGGTGGGTGCTGTGGGAGGAACAGTTGGTGTCACGGTTGGTGCAAGGGCTGAAGGAAGGCAGCATGTCTAGCCTTAGGCTACTGATGGTGATTCTGTCTTCCTCTTGTGGGGTTAGAGGAGGTCAGAAGATGTGGCCTCCCTCTGCCCTTTTGGCAGATACTCATTATTATATACTTTTCTTACTGTCTAAAAGTAGATTAGTTCATATGCTTTTATTACTAAAAAGGGTAGTTTGAAATTTACCTTTCTTTTGGTTTATCATCTCTTTTTCTTTCAAAAGTGACATGGTCATGCCTTGTTGGATCATAATGTATGATGTCCCTATGTAAAAAGAAAGGAAATTGGTAAGTTGGAAGAGGTAAGTCAGAGCACTAATGTAAAAAATAAATAGCAAATTATAAGTCAACATTAGGAAAATGAATTTTGGGGCAAGTGGAAATGATATGATCTCAAAAAGAAGTATCAATCTTGTAAAAATATTCTTATTAAAAATTACATACTTTTCAGTTTCCTTGGCTCTTTAACTTGTAAATGATTTAAAACATACTGAAATAAGGGAGACAGCTCAGGGGTCAGGAGTGTATGGAGGGACAGACACAGGGAAGAAGTAACTATCAGGAAAAGTGGGAGGGGAGCTGTTGCATTATGGTAAATTGTAGTCAATGTCATGAGACAAAATGTATGTGAACTGCTGTATGGAAAGTGAATTTGCTCTGTAAATTTTCACCAAATCACAATAAAAAAATTATATATATTGAAATGTATACAGATGAAATTATATCATATCTGAGATTTGTATATTTCACAATAATTTCAGTGGGCAGGCAAGAGGAAGTAAAGATATAGATGAAAAAAGTGGCCATATGTTGATAATTGCAGAAGCTAGGTGATGGTATGCACAGTTTCATTATAGTAGTCTCTAAATTATGTTTGAAACTTTTCTTAAGAGTCAGTTTAAATAAATAGATTAACTCAAGGATGTGTAAAGAAAATAAAAACTACCTAACTGTACTATATGTATTTTTGTAAAATTCAAAAAAATACAACATAAATTTTCCTCTCATACCTATAAATAACGTGACCACTAAAAATAGCTAAATAGTCACTGTACATTCATGGTATATTTGTTTTGCCAGTCCATTGTTTCACTAATGGAAACAATGCTGCAATAATAACTAAATATATAAGGACAAAAATAATTTCTTTAGGTTTAATTTCTTGAGGTGAATCACTCACTGGGTCAAAAGTAAATGTACTATTTTTGAGTTCTGACACATACCGCCAAATGCCCTCCTCAGAAAGTTTAAAATGGGCTAGTTTCAAATTGAGTTCAAGAAGCCATTATGATAAAGGATAATAAGATGGACTGGGATCCAACAGAAACCATACTTAAATTTCTTAGCAGTTATTGATCCTTGGCATGTAGAATTGTTCAGGTTGATGTACAAAACACGTTGCACAACATCTAGTGCTTTATTTTTTTCTGCAGCAAGCTCTTCTTCCTCAGTTTTCTTTTCATTTACCTCTGTGACAGATAGGATAATTAGCAACCTCATGGCAAGTATAGCTTTAAAAGTCTCAATCATTAAATAATCATTAAGTACCTAAATATGTACAACAGCTCAGTATGATAGGAAGAAGAAAAAAATAAGCCTTATTTTGGTAACTCCCGTATCTCTAAGACCCTCGTGTCACAAGGAACCCAGAAATGCCATGACCAGAAAACACAAAGAACCACTTATATTTATGAAAGTGAAATCCAGATTTAACAGCTTTAATTGACAAGTCTAAAAAAATTTTAAATTGGTAAACAGATACTTATTTTTAACATTATTTTAACAATAATTTTTCAGCATTCTAAAACAGTGATAAAGAGAGTGAAGATGATAATTTCATTGTCTGTTAATATGACATTTCAGAAGACAGTGGCTTCAGCCTTTGAACTAGTAATAAATATTTCAGATAAAGAGTCATGTGCCCTACATACACAGGGCATCTGGAATTCTATAACCTGATGTATTCAACTGCTAGAAACAAACAAATATCAAAACAGAGTTATATAGTTATTTTGGATTATAGATAGAACTACAAAGGAAGATGTCTAAGGTTTCAAGACCCTTTCAATTGACTGCAGGATATAAACAACCAATAGCAGAACTAGAAAAAAAAGCTGATTTATGTTCTTTATGGAAATGCTCTCAAGATTTCTAAGGGTGCAAAGAGAGTAGAGATTATATTAAACTAGATCAATAAATGTTTTATAATTAGGTGGAGCCTGAGGTAGAAAAGGCAAACCAGATCCCCAGAGATGGGAGGACAGGATGCTAGGTAGAGGAAACAAAATGAGCACATATATCGAACTAAGAAATTGTATTACATATGCATTAGGTTGAACCATATGAAACTGCTGATATTCAACAATTTCTGACTTCAAAAAACAGTAATTTCAATTTTAAGCTAAAAATATTCATATTAGGGAGAAGTAGAATAGATGCTGGTAAAGACTAAAAGTTCAAGTAACAGAATGGCTATCTTTGCAATTCACAAGAAATTGAGAAGGAAAGGAAAATGGAGGTTATACATCTGCCTTCCCTGAGAGTAGAATTTCCATTGACAGAGAGAGATGGGTCAGGAGGAAGTGGTTTAAAGAGAGAGAAAGAGAGAGAGACAGAGAGAGAGACAGAGAGAAATACAGTTTTGGATTGCTGAGTTTCACACAGACACAAGACTGTTCAAAGGACCCAAAGCTCAGAGAACAGTTTTGTCCAAAAGAGATTCAAAACTGGGGAATATTATACACAAGTGGAGGCTAAAGCCAAAAGGGACTTACAGGGACTTACTAGGAAGGGTCTACTTTTGGAGGAAAAGGGAAAATTAGGAATTACAAAAATTAGGAAGAAAATCAGGAAGCTGTAATGGAAGTAAAGGGAATAGAAAATTTTAAGAGATGGTCAATAGTGAAATACTAGAGGTAGGCTGCAGAGAATGAAGCTTGAGAAAATGTCAGTGGTGAACAAGTTATCTATAGCTTTGAGGGAATACATACCACAACAGTTGTAAGGAGAGTGATAAAAGTAGATGAAGTTAAGAGAGTAAAATCTATATTCAGCTTCTAAATGCAGGTTATTTCTAAGGTTCTGCCACTGCTATGTTTTCTTCTGAGTCAGAAGAACTAAAGTCTTAGCTCTTAAACATAATTTGGCAAGTACCTGAGTACCTTGGAGAATTTATTGCAAACATTCCTAAATTTTAAAAATGTATTGTATGATAATAATTGCCTCAAAGAATTGTGAAGATCAAATGAGAGATGATATTCAATAAAGTATACCATAAAATACAAGCTGTAGTAGAAATGACTGAATTAGATGTAATTTATGTCTCAAGTTTAGAAATAAAAAAGAAATGGTATGTAAAGCAAGAATGCAAACAGGTATTTGTGTCCCGATGTTCACTGCAGCACAGTCATAGTAGCCAGAAGGTAGAAACAGTCTATCAACATATGAATGGACATATACAATGTGGTACATATGCATGATGGAATATTACTGAGTCATAAATAAAAATGAAGTCCCAGTACATGTTACAACATGAATGAACCTTAAAAACATTATGCTGACAAAAAAGGACAAATAGTGTATGACCTGACTTATGTGAAATATCTAGAATAAATAAGTTCATAGAGACCAAAGTTTATTAGTGGTTACCAAGGATAGGAGAAAAGGGGGAAGAAAGTGTCATTGCTTAGGGGACACTCAGTTTCTATTAAGGGTGATGGAAAAATTTGAAAATGGACAATGATGGTTGAATAACATGATAAATATAATGTCACTGAACTGAATTGTAGATATGAAGAATGTTGAAAGGGCAAATACATATGTATTTACCACACCCAAAAAGGAAAAGAAAGATAGAAAGAAATAAAAGAAATGAGGTGGCAATGAGAGAATTGGCAGGGCTGAAAGAATGGCATTTAGAAACCAATGAGATTCACCCATGTCTGTAGAAAGAAAGGACAGAAGAATAGGTAAGGATGAACATACAAGTGAGAAAGCAAGTAACAGGAAATATGAATGATGAAGATGAAGAAGTAGATTTAGATTAACTCAAGAGGGAGAGAAAAGCAAACAAATAAAAGGTAAGGATAAAAAATTCTGAGCTGAGTGAGGGAATAAGGAGATCACTATATGTGGCAATCCTCTTCATAAAGAAGATAAAGTCCTTTGAAATTAAGAGTAGAAAGTCTTAAAAAGAATATTTGGAACTATTGCTATGAAAAAATGCTATAGGAAGTCAAAAACAGGAATCAAGATGTTTCTGATAGCATTACTACCAAGTAAGGATAAATTTAAGTAGAATGGCATTGATGCTGCACTGCGTTAAAAATCAGCACCCAGCATGAACATCTAAGGAAAGTCAAGTGTGCCTAACAGTTTTCATGGCCTCAGCCAGAACATGTTCATCTGTTGATGTGGGCTGCCAGGCAGGTACCTCGTCTTGTCTTATGGCACAGATGGGATGGAGGAAAACAGAATTTCTGGTAGGTGATATCTATTGATGATCTTTCTGGAAGGTTCAAGTAACTAAATATTTCTAAATAAATTAATATATAAAACAAAAGTACCATACAAGTTCCAGCATTATTTCTGTCACCAAGGCCAAATTTTCCAACTACCGGTGATTCTTCTTGGTTTCCAACTTTTGCATTCCAGTCACCAGTGATAATTAACACATCCTGATTGCATGTTTGGTCAATTTCAGACTGTAGAAGCTGATAAAATTCTTCAATTTCCTCATCTGTGGCTTTGGTGGTTGGGGCATAAATTTGAGTAACAGTCATATTAATGGGTCTTCCTTGTAGGCGTATGGGTATTATCCTATCACTGACAGCATTGTATTTCAGGACAGATCTTGAAACATCCTTTGTGAAGATGAATGCCACGCCATTCCTTTTCAAACTGTCATTCCCAGCATAGTAGATCATATGGTTGTCTGATTCAAAATGGCCAAAAACAGTCCATTTCAGCTCACTAATGCCGAGGATATCAATCTGTATGTGTTCCATTTTCTTTTTGACAACTTCCAATTTTTCTAGATTCATACTTCTTACATTCCATGTTCCGAAGATTAATGGATGTCTGTGGCTGTTTCTCTTCAACTTGAGTGGTGCCACATCAGCAAATGAAGGTCTCGAAAGCTTTCGCTTATCCTTATGAGTAAGGCTGGGTTTACTCAGATGTTGCAGCTCTTTCCCAGTCCTATTTTGAGAGCCTTCTAGCCTAACTGGACTATTTATAAAGTTGTGTGGTAATGTATCAGACAGTGTTTCTTTGCTATTCATAAGGTTTTCCCTGTCCAATTCTTTGAGAAGTGGATGGCCTCTTCCTTCTTCCTAGTCTGTCTCAGTCTATAAGCTGGGCTGTTACCTGTGCACCAGGTGCATCTCGCTGGGTTTTAAACACCAGAGGCTCAGCCTCAAAACTCAGGTCTACATGTCACCACAGTAGGACAAACTGACAGACAAGTTTGTCTTGCTGTTGGAGACCTCTCGTATCACCCCCACCTGGGTCCCTGTGGCTGACTGTTCCTGTGTCTGGCTTCCTGGCTTTTAATCCCCTTTCTCCTGCTCTTCTGGCCTGCTGCTTTGGGAGTCCCTGAGTTGTCCCTGGGGCTGACTGCTCCTCTGTCCAGGTTCCTGGCTTTTATTCCCTTTCTCCTGCTCTCCGGTCCTGCTGCTTTAGGTGGGCCTAAGTTTCCTCTCCTCACCTAATCCCTTCAGCTGATTGCTCTTCTCTCTGGCTTCCTGGCTTTTAATCCCCTTTCCCTGCTCTTCCAGCCTGCTGCTTTGGGCGTCCCTGAGTTGTCTCTCCTCACCTGTAACCCTGGGGCTGCTGGAACTCATATGGTATGGACAATGAATAAGGAAGACTGAAGAAGACTTGATGCTTTTGAGTTGTGGTGCTGGCGAAGAATGCTGAAAGTATCATGGACTGCTAAAAGAACTAACAGATCTGTCCTGGAGGAAGTGCAGCCAGAATGCTCCTTGGAAGCAAGAATGGCCAGACTTCGTCTCACCTATTTTGGTCATGTTGTAAGAAGGGACCATTCCCTGGAGAAGGATGTCATGCTTGGTAGGGTGGAGGGTCGACGAAAGAGGGGGAGGCCTTCAACGAGATGGATTGACATGGTGGCTGCAACGATGGGCTCAAGTATATATTGTGGGGCTGGCGCGGGATCGGGCAGTGTTTCGTTCTGCTGTGCATGGGGTCGCTATGAGTCGGAAACGACTCGATGGCACTTAACAACAACAACAACAATAAAACAAAATAGTATTAACTAAGCTCCTCAATTTAATGTTTTTGGATGTAGAGTTTGTTTGTTAAGTGAAGTTGGTAGTTTAGATGATTTCTAAGGGTCCCACCAACTCTGGTATTATGACTGAACAGTGAGAAATTTACCTTTCTCTTCTTCACTGTCGCTTTCTAGAAATCGAGAGTCCATACGAAATCTGTTATCAGTGCCAAAGTGAGACTGTAAATCCATAAGCTACAGATAAAAAATGGATTATTGAAAATGCAGTATGGATAAAGAATTTGCGCTGTAAACTTTCACAGAAATCACAATAAAAATTAAAAAGTAAAGAAAATACAAGAACAGATAATTGAGAGCCAGGCTGTCCATAATGCACCTCTCTACACCTTAAAATCCACTGCATTAATGTGTTTCCATAAAGTGACTTAAGCATACTCAATCAAAAAGGATCACAGAGAACTTACTCCCAAAATAGCTCAACTGGAATATATGTTCTAGAAATATATGGAATAATAAGGAACTGTTTGAAGTTATATTATTTTCAGTCTTCACTAACCTTCTGTCCAGCTCTTCCCTCAAACTGAGGTTTGATTTTAAACCTGTTACTGTCATCTTCGGAATCAGATTTCTCGTCACCACTGTTATCAAACAGCTTCCCAGATGCTTTACAAATGGATTCCTTTCATAATGATGAAGAAAATAGATATTAATTAGTGGTCAGCATTTGCTTTCAAAATTTAATCATTCTCCTCATATTTCATGTATCTATCATAAACAGGTAGATGGTGAGTTAAAACATAAATCACTAATTCAATGACATTTAACTGTCCCCTGATATCATTTATCCAGATGTTCCCCAGTGAAGCCTAGATTTGGAAGGTAATAGTGGTAGTGGTGAAAATACTTAGCAGATGATATGGAGAGTATAGAATCATGATGAAGAAAGCTGTAGTCTGAGGGTCTGGGGCTTAGGGAGCCCTAGATCACACTGTACCTCCTAAGAAGATTATATGTAGGGACAGGAAGTTGTGTGGAGATCTTGGTATACAAAAGACAAAAACAGATGAATGCCCACAGTGATGTCCAAACTTCTTACCTTCACAAGTTCTTCTGGATGGCTTAATTCCTGAATGGATGTCTCTTTTCTTTCACTTTCACTGTCAGAGCCAAAGATGATGTGTGTTGCCCTCACCTCTGAATGATCATCCTGGGGAGGTCATCAAAAGCAGTATTTCTTAGGAAAATCTAATCTCAAACTTAACATGGCCAATCATTATCTCCTTCCAGGTCTTCTTCTTATTCTTTCCTTATCTCAGTGAATGCCACTGTCATCCACTTAACTGCCCAAGTCAGAAACTTAGGACTTCTCTTTCTATACCCAGTTGATAACCAAGTTCTATTGAATTGACCTTCTTTGTATCTTTTAAATCTGTCTTTGCAACCTCCAAAGGCTCTCCAAGGTTCAAGATTTGCTCCATTCAACTTGTTCTTATCATGACTAGAAGGATGTTTCTAATACAGGAGTAATCTCACCTTTTCTGTAATAGGCCAGAAAGTAAATATTTTAGGCTTCACAGGATACATATGGTCTCTGTCCATACTTGTCTTTTATTACAACCATTTACAAATATAAAAACTGGGACTTCCAGGAAGATGGTAGAAGAGGCCATATAATGATTAAAGGAATAATCAAACAAGGACATAATCATAATAAACACTTACACACCCAATGAAGGAGCCTCAAAATACATAAATCAAACTTTAACAAAATTGAAGAGAAATAGACAACTCCACAATAATAGTAGGAGACTTTAATACCACTTTCAATGAAGGATAGAACAATCAGAAAGAAACTAAACAATAAACTCAACCAATTTGAACCTATAGACAAATACAAAGCATATCACCCAACAATAGAACAATATACATTCTTTTCTAAGACACACAGAATGTTCTCCAGAATAGACCAAATGTTAGACCACAAAGAAAGCCTTAATAACTACAAAATTTCAAAATAATGCAAAGCATCTGTTCTGGTTACCTAGTGCCACTCTGACAGGAATATACCACAAATGGGATGACTTTCATAAACAGGAGTTTTTTCTTAAAAGTTGGAGGCTTTAAGTTCGAGTTCAAGATGCTAGGCTCTAGGGGCTTGGGTGAAAGCACCTCAGCCTTGGGCTTCAGCTCTGCCTCCTGCTCCTGGCCCACTGAAGCTAGAAGCTTTTCTTCACTCAGACAGCTGCTGGCTGCTGAGGCTGACAAGCCCAAGGTTGACAAGTAAAAAGGCACAGTTTTCGATGTTACCAAACCACATGGCAGGCTGTTAATTCAAGTCAACTGAAAGTCCCAAGGTTGGAAGCGCATGGCAGGCTGCTGAACAACGACATGGCTACAAGCAGGGTTCAAGCGTGCCATAAGCTAGAGACCATTCCTAAAGCTGCCGTTTATATATGGGAAGCACACCACAACCCTAAAGCAGCTACTCAGCTGCTCCAATAGATTCCACCATGAAGTTAATTACCAATCTCACCATGGGGAATAACTATATTCAGTTGCCCAGCCACTCAACCAGGCTTACCCAAGTTGACACACAAACTTAAACATCACACCATCTTTTCAGATCACATGCTATAAAATTAGAATTCAATAATAGGAAAATCAAGGTAACAAAATAAACATGGCAACTAAAAAACACACTCTTAAAAAACTACTGGATAGGATTCCAGCAACCCAGTGGAATAGGCAGACAAGCTACACAGACCCTCTGCAACAAATCAATGAGAAACCAATTGAAATTGATACAGAAGACAATCTTGGAACCCTTAGCTTTGAAGGGAAGGATAAAGAAGTGAATTAAATACCAAATAGCAGAAGAACCTGAATGAAAACAGTGATTAAGGAGACAAATGGAGCTGCAGACTGCCAGCTGGCCTGAGGGCGCAGCCATCTTGAATATTTGCAAGCATATTCCAGTAGCAACCTAAGCATCAGCTCTGATCCTGAAGGACTATATATGGGCAACAACTGCACTGGTGCCTGACAACCAGAAAGAAAAAGGGCGAAGAAGGAGAAAAACAGACCTGTGGACTATAGGCTGTCCTGAGGGCACAGCCATATTGAATATTTAAAAGTGGCACAGACACTGAATATATGTAAGTAGTGTTCTGACCTGGACAGTGACCTAAGAATATGCTCCACTGGCTGAGGACAACACAGGCAACTGCACTGGAGGTTGACAACAATAAAGGTGTGACATTCCCTTGTTACTCTTATACCCCATACTCTCTTGGTGAACAGAAGTATGACCATCCGTGCCTCCAACCACCTTCTTAACCAGTAGGAATTCCATCCCAGTCTGTGCTCTGACAGATTCTGTATGCCCTGCCCCGCCTCCCAGTTTGTTTTGAAATTACTCTTTTTATGCTCTACCTTCTTCCTTTTGCTTAATTTTTTTTTATCTTTCTCTTCCCTGATTCTTTTTTTTCTTTCTTTTTTCCCTTTTCCTGCTTACATTCTTATTCTTTGTTTTAGATCTTCCCATCCCTTGTTTTTGCTTTTGCAGTTTTCCCATTTCCTCTTTACTCTTCCTTAACTCTTGCTCTTTTCTCTCATTCTCCCCTCCCTAGATACTGTGGGTTTTTATTTTCCCCCTTTTCTCATTTTTTAAAAATCTTTTAAAAATACATTTAAAATTTTTTTCTTCACATTTATTGTCTTTTTTAAAATGATTATTCCTGTTTGGTAATGGGGTTTGAGTTTTTTGCTCCCTTGTTTTTATTTTCTTGGTGGTCTTTTGAAGTTTTATTTTTTTAAATCTCTGACTGGGAGACAGCAACCATTCCCACACAGTCTGACCACACCTGCACCTTCTGCAGCCCCACTGTGTGAGGCTTTTTCACCAAATGACCAACAACAGATGGCAGCCAATACCATGTCAACTCACCTCAACTTGTCTTTACAAACAGCTATCAGAGATTTATGCACACACTCTTATTCTCGATCACACCCACTAGGAGACAGGTGGTGAGTAGTTAAGTGCTAACAACTAGAGGACAGAGAAGCACAATAGCCTGCTCACACAGATATATGAAAACAAAGTTAAAGGAAATAAAAAATCTTTGGCAATTCACACCAACATACAACCACAAATTAAACATAAACACAACATTACAATGTCTCAGAGACAAATATCCATCCCAGTCCAAACAAAGAAGCTAGATAAACTAGGACAAACAAGAGACCAGGATACAAACCCAGAAAACACCTCTGAGGAAGAAGGAATAATGGAACACCTGATAAGGAATCAAAATTATTATGTTTACGTACTTTCAACTAGATTGAGAGACAGATCAAAGAAAACACTGACAAGATCAAGGAAAACAATGACAAAGCTCTAGAATGATTTAGGAGAACAATATAACAAATTGACACAATAAAAAAAAAAATTAGAAATGATACAAAAGCAACAAATAGAAATGCAGATGATTATACTAACATTTGAGAAACAGCTAAGACATTGAATGGGCAAAGGAATAGAATCAGATCTATGGGAAGACAGAGTTAATGATATTTAAGACAAATACCTCAATAGTACCTTGTTAAAAGACAAATCAGAAAAAAGATCAAAACAAAATGAAGAAAGTCTAAGATTCATCATGTTGGATACCATCAAGAGGAATAACCTACCTGTAATTGGAATTCCAAAAGAGGAGGAGAAAAATAAGACAACAGAAAATTGTCAGATTTGTTGGAAAAGACTTTCCCTAATATGATGAAGAATGAGATTAAATCCATTCAAGAAGTTCCATGAACCCCAAACAGGTTAGACTCCAAAAGAAAATCACTAAGACTTATCATCATCAAATTACCAAAAAAAAAAAAAAAAAAAAAAAAAAAAAAAAAAAACAACACAAAGAAAGAATCCTGAAAGCAGCACAGGAAAAGTCAAAAGTTACCAACAAAAGGCAACCAATAAGTCTAAGCTTGGATTTCTTGGCAGAAACCATGCAGGCAGGAAGGAAATGAGATAATATATATAAAACCTTAAAATAAAAAAATTTCCAACCAGGAATTAATACCCAGCAAAACTGTTCCTCACATATGAGGGTAAAATTAGGACATTTCCAGATAAACAGTAATTAAAGGAATTTGATAAAACCAGACCAACCTTACAAGAGATGCCAAAGGGAATCCTTCGGGCAGAGAACCAACAACAGGAAACAGCAACCAATGACTAGTACACATGGTGACATAACCCAAAAGCAAATCCATTTATACAATATCCAAAGTAAGATAAGCTTACAAGACTATAAACAGGAAAGCACAGACATCAGTTGGTAAATGAGGACAACTATTAACCAAGAAATGGAATAAATAATATAGTTACAGAATGCCTAAATAGTGAGGAAGTCAAGAAAATTGTGAGACAGAACACACTGTTTTAAACTTGGGAAGTAAATTATAAACCATAGGGTAACCTCAAAGAAAAATAATAAAATTCACATCAAAATAAAAAAGAGGACAAGCAGAAATACTTAAAAATACTAAAACAGTAATGATGAAGGAGATAACATGATTCATAAAGAAAATGAGCCCAGCACAGAAAATTATATGGAATAAAGAAATAAGCAACACCACACACACACACACACACACACACACACACACACACACACAAAACCAAAAAAAACCCCGACATAAAATGACATTAATAAATTCATACTTTTCCACAGTAACACTGCATGTAAATGAATTAAATGAAGCATTCAAGAGCCAGAGAGTTGCAGACAGGATAAGAAAACATGACCCATCAATATGCTATCTACAAGAGACTCACTTTAGACACAAAGACAAAAACAGTCTAATCATCAAAACTTGGAAAAAGACACATCAAACAAATGACAATCCAAAGAGGGCAGGGGTGGCAATACTAATTTCTGATAAAATCGACTTTAAGACAAAACTTACCATAAGAGAGAAGGAAGGTCATTATATACTGATTAAAGGATCAACTGAACAAGAACACATTATAAGAATAAATATCTACATGCCCAATGGAAAAGCTCCAAATACATAAATCAAATTTAACAGAACTGAAAAGACAAACAGATGACTCCACAGTAATAGTAGGAGATTTAATACATAGCTTTCAATCAAGAGTAGAACTGGAAAGAAACTCAATAAAGATGAAGAAGAACTAAACAA